ATTATATTGATGTCGTACACACACCTAAAAATTAAAAATATTAAAAATATCTACATAATCTAAACACCATGGTGAATCAAATGATATCAAAATCACACAAGTCCGTGTAGCGGTTTCTAAATCAAAGCGACAACAAAACAAGATATTGAGGAAAAATATTTGTTTTTGGTTCGAAAAAATAATGTCATCATATTTATTTTTTTAATTGTATACAAGAAATTTCAGAAAAAAATGTTGGTGTTATTCTGCTATTTTACCCGAATTTCGCCGAAAAAATTGACATATATAATAATCACTTTTGTGTATAAGTATACGCCTTGCGGATTATATCAAGACCCTTCCGATAAATCTTAGAATTATATAAATAGGAATAAATCTTAAAATAAAATAATATTATGAAATATACATTTTAAATTGCGTCTAAATCGCGTAATTGTCAAAATCATTTGATGCGCATGCGGTTTCAAGGAAGTACTGAAGTTTATCTTCCAATCCATGTATATTTTGCGAAATTTCATTTGACGGCTAAGATGTGCCACACGTTACATTGAAGTACCCAAAAAATCGTAAAACGCGAATAATTTCCGAAAACTCCATATGCCATTAACGCGCATCCGATTTCGGTGTGCACCCTAAAAAAATACATCGATCTATATCGATTTCAATGTGGTGCATTAAGAACCATGGATGTGCCAGCTCACACTATTTTTGAGATAAATTGCGTACATCTCTCTTTCGGCTGAAGTTTTTAAAGTTCTCTTTTCGAAAAAGATCAAAATCCGTATGAGGTCATTTATTGAAGCGGAAATGATACACAGAAAACGCAAATAAATCCGCGATATTTTCAAAAACATTTTTTTGCCAAATTTCGTGTTTTTGGAAGGCCAGTTCCCGCCGTTCTAGTAGATGGATTTTCACGAAGAGGATTTTATATCATCCGAAACGAAAAAAAACCTTATTGATCGCGGGTACTCATATCATTCAGTTGACAGATCTAAAAATTTGGCCCGAAAAATAGGTTTTTTAGAAATTTGATCGCACAAAATTCGCACCTTCGGATGAGTATTACTCTGAAGCAGTGCATACTACATACACAAAATACATATCAAATTACGCAGATTCGCGCCTACAATAATCTTATAATCGATTTTTATAAATTCCTGTTTGCGTATTAAAACTAGAAGTAAAATTAAAAAAACACTCAAAATCGAGCTTCAAAATGTCAGCATCATTTAAAGGTAGATGCAGTTAAAATTTTGAAAAATGATACATAAGGGGCGTAGTCCCCATTTTGTTGGCTTCTAGTTTTCTTTTGACACGAAGACCGTGCAATGAGCGGCTTAGTCACAAATCGATAGAGAACAGAAAAAAACTGGTTCGCCTCAACCTGTTTTTACACATTTTTTACATAAGAGTAGACACAGCTTCCACCAAAATAAAGTTTGGAGGTCAATGTTATGAACAGTTTGCAAAGACAGATCAATTAACACAAAACTATTCACTTTTTTTTATATACTTAAGTAGTTCCCGAGTTATAAAGGGGTGAACCTCCGCTTCAGCTATGTTAAAAAATTGGCAATATTGCCCATTTATATTTTAATCCAAATGGCCAATAATAAAATTTATTGTTGTGTTGGCATTACCTTTACAATAATTGTTTGCCATGACAGAGATCATAAATAAATGCTACTTATGATTTATGTTTTAGGTATTTTATGTTTTTTAATTATTATTTTTATTTCTTACTAAAGGCATGTTAGATTACAAATGAATGCTAAGCAAATTTTAAGGCATATTAGTAATTTTAATTCCAATTAAAAATACATATAAGCAAAATAATAATAAAGAATGAAAACTTGAAAACGGAAAAGGAAAACTTTTTTGAGTGATGTCACATTAATTTTTTTATATTAAAATAATATCACATTCTTATATTATATATTTATATAAATACATGATTGGGTGATACATTTGTTTTTATTGTATTTATTTTTTTTATTTATTTATAATAATAAAAAGCAATAATTTGTTAATATTTATTGATTAAAAATATATTCACTAACCATAAAAACTAAAGTAAATTTTTATATATAAAATTTTAAGTGTAAAAAAGAAGGAATATAAAATAAAAATAGAAATAATATTACATTTTGGGAATTGTAAAAAAAACAGAGTTGTATTGGAAGTAATTTTTATTTGAAGACTGTGTTTTTTTTTAATTTTTATAAGTTCTACAAAATTGGCAGTACTTTTAATACGTATGGTTGTCCATTTTTTTTATCAGATTATTCAGAAATCGAATTGCAAATACGGAATTATGTTTACATTTTAATATTTTTATTGCATTACTTTAAATGGATTTTTTTGAAATGCAAGATCTATTAATAAGTCCCAATTATCGAAAGTCAGCTGTTTTTTCTGAAATCGAATGTCAAAAATGTTGTCTTCGTTTAAGTTTTTGTAATGAAGTTAATTCACAGCTGATTGCATCCCTAATTGGTTAACACGTACTAATATTTAAGGTGGTCATATGGAAATGGGAATTCAATCACAACGGCCACTATATTTTAAATCAATATGGACGTATTTAAGACTAATAGTACGTTTACAATGTACCGGATCTATTATGTCAAATAAGTTCTCATAGAGGAGGTTAAACCGGCAAACAATTCTAATGTAAATGCCGCATAAGGCCTATTAATAAGGATACACAAGAAGCAAAATCCGCCGCTTTTGCCAAGATTAAAAACAAAAATGGATTTTAACAGCAAACTGGATAACAGATGGTCATCTCATATAACCGTATTGTCCGATGTTCACAATGCGAAAGATTTTAGCTTTTTTCCTTTCGAAAGCGCTATAATTTTTCATTCTGGGTCCTTGGAGAACATCGGTGCGAACAATTTTCAATAAAAATTCAGGTTTTGTATAGATAGACAACCGAAATTTTTTATAGGCCCATCTTTGGATAAAGCCATTTCCATTATTTTAAGGATTTCTGACATGTTTTTCAACCGTATGGGCTCTAATTGTAATACGAAAAATATAAATATCTTTTATAGCACCTATATAGAAGCTCCGGCAGATTTTCAGTATGTTGAAGGAGGGTTAAAACCTCTTCTTTGCACATCATCTTTGATGTTCTATATTTTAACAGTCTAAAGTTTTCATACCGGATTTCGTTGACCTACCTCCAAGTCACGCCACGTCTTCGCCCAGCTATCGTGATCAAATATCTCTACATGGGTGCCTTGGTATTTGTAATAATGAAGACCACCGGCGGGAAAAGTATTCTGGACCCAACTTTCCGGCCACTAAAAAAGTGAAAGCAAGACCGACTTGAAATTCCGGATGATTTAATGGGTGGATAAGATGATAGAAGAAGTGAGCAAGAATATTACCAAGCTTACGAAAAAAATAAACCGTTATAATGGCGCCCAAAGGCAAAATTTGCCTAGGATGAACCGACCCATTTTCTCTATTTTGATGACTTTAGCCAAGTTTTCGCGACGGAGTGACTGTAATTTCCTCAAGCGGTTCGGAGAGAAGAGTATTTCGGAACATAAAAAATAAAAGCAGAACTGGCATGAAATTCCCGATGAAAGAATGGGCAGATAAGAAGGAAGAAGAAGTGAGCAAGGATATTATCAAGCTAACGACTATAATAAACCGCTATAATGGCGCCCAAAGACAAAATTTGCCCAGGATGAATCGACCCTTATTCAGTATTTTGATGTTTTTTTCGTGACGAATGGGTTGTAATTTCCTGAAGCAGCTTGATCTTGTTCAGTTCGGTCCGCAAAAAAAACTGGTTCGATCATTTAGTTTCATAGCTTCTTTTTGTTCAATCGTTCATTAGTATACACGATCATTGAACGTGAAGGACTAGATGAACGATTGGATCAAAATGAACTATTCGAAAAAGAGCATAAAGTAACGACGGATCTAGTACCAATAGTTCCTTAACGACGTAAATCTAGTGGTTTGGCATTCCATATTCCCGGCGAATTAAAATCTCACCTCCCATAAACTTTCCATGTTTTTAAATAGTCCCCATAAAAATGTCCCGCCTAATGTTCGGTATGTTGAAGTTCATAAGTCAGTTTTCCATTCTGAGTCTCTTTAATTAGGTATTAATTCTATTCAGAGTATATACCACATTTATATAGGCCTCACATAAAGGTCCCGACCTATATGATAGCTACTATGGCTTTTTATTCGAATTCGAAAAATTACAACAATAAATTTTGACAGAAAATTTGAATTTAATCTGGATGATCTACATATATGTTGCTCTCTACTGTACATAAATATAAATAAAATGGTTGTATAATGGCACATTTATATTTGGAAATAAGATGTTAAATCAATGATTTTCTGTGTAAAAATGCTTGACAAATTTGGAAAATGAGTTTTTTTTTTTTTTAAATTGTAGATTTTTTTGTCGTATACAATTCCAATATTTTATAATTTCGGGTATCAAAAATAAACAAAATCTTATATTAAATTCACATAAAATGTTATATTAAAATAGTCAATAATTTCTAAAAATATATTTCATTATTTAAAATTAATATTGATGTTTGGGAAATTGTATTGAAAATAATAAAATATATACTAACTATTAAAAGATACTATAAAATATATACTAACATAAAAATTGACTTAAAAATTAAACTAAATAGACAATTGAAAAACTTTTGTTTTTAAAGTATATTTTATAAATTGTTAGGCTTAAGCCAGGATTATATGACAGCAACAAAATGTCCAATTTCTTAATATGTCAGCGATATAATTGTTATCATTAAACGTGTTGCTTGAGAATTGTTTCATTGATGTTTCACATTTCCTATAAAGATCCGAAGTTTGGTTTGTGCCCATCTTCAAGAAATTGGTACTTTTGACAATCATCTAACCCCAGCATTATTTTATGTATATAAAGAAGTATTTGCATTTATGTATATATATATATAGTAAAATTAGTATTCCGGTGCAGACATTTACCAGAACCACCAACTCCGTACCACTAATCGTGTTGACCACATTAATGTGAGAACATTTACAATAACCAACACATACAAAGACCCCCGTTGCTGATGAGCCGTACCATTTTCTTCTGGATGTTCAAATTCTGATATTAACGGTGCCGTTCGCTGTTCTTCATCAACTTCATTTGCATTCTTCGGACATTTCATCCAATCTCTGGCCGATGATTTGGGTTTGGCGTGGGCCACACGCATTTGCATATCATCAAATTCCCAATAGGAATGTCCCTTGAAGAAATAGGTTTTACCGTTGGTATTTTGGAAGGCAGCATCAATATTATAGCCGATACCCGACCATATGGACATATCACGTGGATAATCAAGTTCAACACGTCCAGTTTCACGATCCAGAGCCCAATATAGGGTACCGCTGAAGAGATATGTACGATTATTATGACCCCATATAAAGACAGCATCAACATGTGGCAAAGTCGCCGGCAGTCCCAAGGCAGATAAGTAGTTTTCTCTGATCAATGTCACCGAATCGAATTCATAGAATTTACGTCCTGCAAAATGAAGAAGAAGAAACAAAGAAATGTTAATAAAGATCTCGGTGTGTACATTTTTTCAACTTACCAATGAAGAAGACAATGTGTCGCTGATAATTTTCATAGACAGCATCAATTTTAGTAAAGTTGGAGGGTAAAGCTGTCCAGAGACGTTTAGTTTCGGTGGGATAACCAGGATAGAGACCACGTTCGCCAATACGCCAAAGATACTGGAAAGAAAGAGGTTAATAATAGTATTTTTTCTCAAATATAAATGATTCCTTGAAATACAGAAGACTTGGAAAATTCCGCTCTGAACTTCTTAGACAAGACCCAATATTTGGAGAACAAAATGGTGGATTAATTTCTTGATTATAACATGAAGGTGTCAGTTTTCTAGCGACCGCTTTTTCAGGGTGTGGATAATGTGAAGCCGGATAGTCATACTACCCAGGTGCAACCAGTAAACCTAGCAGGATATAAAGACCAACCACTTTTTTGGATTTAAATCCCGCCAAACAAAACTTCCTATGGAGCGTTCCCCTAAAACAAATTTTGAAGAAGGAATAATGAAGTAGAAATATTGGCGGGTGTCGTTGATCTACCTTCGAGTCACAACCCGTCGTCATCCAGCGATCGTGATCAATTATCTCTTACAAGAACGAAGCACAGTTTAAGAACCACCAGAGAAGAGTATTATGGATCTTACCCTCCGGTTACTCAAAAAGTGAAAGCAAGACCGACGTTACCGATTTGGAATGCAGGATAGGCAGATAAGATGGTTGTAGAGGTGAGCAATGATATTACCAAGCATACGATTAGAATAAACACCTATATGTCGCCCAAAGCGAAATTGTGGAGAAAAACTCTGTCGATCCCTCCAAGGACTGGTCACCCCCTTTGAGAATTTATGGAATGCCGGATCAGTGGATAGACGTAAGATGGTACAAGAAGTAAGGTTGATTACCAAGCTTACGATTTTAACAAACTGCTATATGGTGCCTAAAGCAAAATTTGGCTAGGAGGAACCGGAAATTCAGAAACGCACAAGTGGAGGGAAATTCGATATTTCCCTCAACAGACTGGTCATTTTATGTTTTAGAAGAGTATTCTGAACCTAACGTTCCGGGTACAAAAAAAGTGAAAGCAAGTCGGATTCGGAATGCCGGATCAGTGAATAGGCAGATAAGATGATAAAAGAGGTGATCATGGATATTTCCAAGCTTATGATTAAAACTAACCGCTATATGGCGACCAACGGCAAATTTAGCTAGGATGAACCATATCTTCCTCTCCACAGAATGGCCACCCACAATGGGATTTGATGCCTTCATGTCTTGGTATTGGTAATATACAAGGTTAAGAGCCACCGGAGAAGACCTAACCTTTTGGTTACTCAAAAAGTGAAAGCAAGACCGCAATAATCCACATAGAATGCCGGATGAGTAAATAGGCAGATAATACGGAAGAAGAAGTGGGCAAAGATCATACAATTAAAACAACCCGCTATATGGCACCCAAAGGCAATATTTAACTAGAATGAACCTGAAAAACAGACAAATATTCCCAGGAATAAGTTTTTTCTTCTAATCGGAAGTTTTTTTTTGCAGTTCTCCTCCAGAGCTATTCACAAGCAATATTCGATCATTGATATGGCTGAACTCTAGATAACATGCAGATTGTGTGGTCTTGTGTCAACGTCAGGTTTTTAAAAAGAGGACCTTATGGAGGACAAGTCTTGCGCTAGCAGCCGAAGTAAAATCAGTTTCTGTGTCGGGCAGAACCCACGCAAAGTTTTCATAAGGAATTATCGATATTCCTCTATATAAAAAAATATAATTTCAAATTAAAATGAATGCGAAACTTACCTGTCCTCGGAATATGAACAATTCGCCACGTATAATCGATATGGCATCATAATGTGTAGAACAACTATCTGGTTTGGGTTTGCGCGGTTTCATTGGACGATGCGTTTTTGTGGGTGTACGCTGTGGTGGATGTGAATGTGTCGGATGATGGCGAGTTCGTGGACGAACTGTTGTTGTCGTTGTGGATGGTGTTGTCACGTGATAAGGTCTACGTGTTGTTGTTGTATAAACGGGATAATCTCTTCTTGGTGTATCATAACGAGAATCATGACGATTACCATTATAAGAGTGATGCTGGTAGTCGTAGTTATGATAGGGATGACGTTCATTTGGTCGTTGTGGTGAATATGGATAAGGATTCGAATTGGGATAATTGCGAACTGGATAATATGTTCTTGGTGGTCGTGTTGTAGTCGTCGTAGTTGTTGTGGTTGTAGTCGTTGTTGGTCGTGTCGGTGCACGATATACACCCCATTGGACTTTAACTTTGGCTCCATACAATTCTTGTATGGCATTACGATCATCGGCGGGTAATTCTCTATCGGCAGTGTAACCTTGATACCAGGGGAACATAATGGCATTTTGATCGGATGAATGTCCAAGGCCAAGTGAGTGTCCGAATTCGTGCACAGCTACACCAAGGAAATCAGTACCTGTAAAGAGAGAGAAAAATAAAAAATACAAGTGAATTTTGAAAGAAAAATTGATAATAATGGCTGGAGAAAATGTCGTACTGCTAAAAGCAGTCCTATAAAATGATTACTTGAATAAAAAATAGGGGTATATAAAATCTCCCAACAGTATCGATTACGTTCAGATCTTGAGAAGGTATGTAGTTGTAGCCTATCTTTAAAAAAGTTAGCTGCTTTTTTGCATTGTTGAAAGATTTAACGTCCACCCAGTTAATATTATGGTCGATTTCTTTGAATTATTTTCTAATATTTGTATTGGTAGTGACATACGTTTCTAATCAAATGTTTTTTGATCGGAGTTCTGTTTCAAAAACTATTCACAAGCGTTCTTCGATCGTTTATATGGTTGAACTCTAGATAACTTTCAAATGTCTACACTATCAACCTTTGATGGTAATATCTAGGAATCAAACAAATCAAGGAAGGCAGCACACACAGTACCAGCTCGTACGGGTAGTGATGACATTTACCACTATAAGATAAATAAAACGGGGTTTTCCAGAAGCTTACGGTTTTTTCTAATCGAAGGTTATGCTCCAAAACACTATTTACAAGTGATCTTTAATCGTTTATATGGTTGAACTCTAGATAACATGCAGATTCTATCGGTCGGTCTCGTACCGACGGTAGATTTTTTAAGTTTCTGCCTATATTTGAAGGTAGTATCAAGGAATCAGATTAATCAAGGAAGGCAGCAAATTGCCCAGTCCCAGCTCAGAGAGGTGGTGATGGCAAAATGTCAATATAGGACTCATATCAGAGGCCTTGTAATTGGAATGAGTACACATTAAATTCTCTAAAAAGAATCTATTGGAGGGTAAGTCTGGTGCCAGCAGCTGCAGTAACCGTAGTTTAAATTGCGTATATTAAAGTTGAGGCGGTTAAAACGTTCGTAGTTGAACTTGTGCTTCATACCCAGATACTTGTATTTATGTATGTTCCTCCTATTCAAGCCTGCTTCAGTGCTCTTCTTGGAAGATTTGTTGTTTTGGCGGAAACAACTACTTTGAACAATTTTGAGAACTTAAATAGATAACTTTACATGAATATTTTGAGCATGGAGTAATGAAATACCGACTCTGTTCTACTTGCAATGGTTTTTAGATCATAAGGTAATGGTAAATAGAATCAGTTTGGGGCATTAGTATTACGACACGAGAGATGAGATTCTTGGACCGTCGTTAGACTAAGTACAGCGAATGAATTTGTCAAAGATGTTTTCATTAATAAAGAACGAAAGTTAGAAGTTCGAAGACGTCAAGATATCGAAATAGTTCAAAACATAAACGATGGCAGTTGGCAATTGGGTGTAATTACTTTTATGATGCCATCATTCGCTTCGCAATGCTCCTCAAAGAGTGGAGTATGCGGCTCAACCAGGTCCAATTGTGTAAGACAATATTATAGTGCTTTCTTGAATCTATGGGTGGCGGAAATTAGCGTTTTTAGTTCGTGAAACAATCTGTCTGCTTAATTCCCATAACGAAGGAGACTTTCAGGATTATGATAGGAAATTATGAGGAGATGCCTTCAGAATTATGATGTTTTCTGATAGTTCAAGATTTTAAAATTTGAATTTGATCTTCCTTCGAGTTTTTTATTATTCTCCAAAAATTTAATTTCTCTCCGACACATTTCCCAATTTTTTTTTAAATCAAACACAATATATAAATAAATTCATTCGTTCGCTTATTTAACTGGTAATTGAATTATTCACACATCCAAAATTAAGTTCATCAATCATTATTGGAATCTGTTTTCAATGGGTGTTGAAATTATGTTTTAGAGCGAGCACAACATTCAATTCGTCTATATATTTCACGTTAGATTAGAGAATCACAGTGACCGTTAACAGCTATTCACACTCAGCAGCTAACAATGGCAGTGCCAGCAGATGCCTCATTCGCTCACTCACCGTTAGTGAGTCAGTCGTAGCTAGAGCCAGTCAGCCTTATTTGCATCATCATCAATCAATTTCATACAAATCACTCATCCATCTATTCATCTGGAGGATGAAAAGATTTTTGCCAGCAATATTTCAACATGTGAAATGAATGAATGGTAGGTAAAAGTATTTTTGGCCCTACACTATAAATGGGGTTACATTTACAATTTTTCGGGAGGGGTTTTGTTTTCCAATGTCTATTGGGGAAAATGTTTGAATGAAATGGCTCGGAATAGGTATATCCGCTATTTTGTGTTTGTTTTGATATACAAAATGTTGTTTTTTTTTGTTTCTTCATCCTGTATTTAGAACATTATCAGTTTGGTCATGGCTATTAGCAGGATATTGTTGTCTGATGGCTACCCCCATGTGCCTTAATTAGGTATCAAACATTTGTTTGTTTTTTTTTTTTTGGTCGTGCTGTCTATCGGTTTCTCTCTACCCATCTATCAGTAAGGTGCAAAGTTGTGGCATTATCCTTTTCATCGTATAAATGATGTGAAAATTAGATTGTAAAGCATTAGCCATTCCGTATCTGCCTTTGTAACACATCGTCTATGATGAAATGAGAAGGATAACTCGGTTTTGTTGGTGGTTGTATGGACCCCACTCATTATTAGTTATTGTTGCATATCCATCATCGGTTGTGAATGTGGTGGCTGGAGCAGATCCAATCATATCTACTTCTTCTCTTTTAAGCGGCCAATTACTCATATTTCACAATAATCATTCACATGAGTATCTAACCAAATTCCTCATTATCCTGTTTCCAAATGATGAACAACAAAATGTAGATTATTAGGTTTTTCGTTTGCAACTCCTTTAAAAAATGTTTCACAAAATCAGTTTAAGTGAGTGTGCAACAAAAGGAAAATATTACTTCTTTTAGACGAGAAATAGAAACACGGACACGGCCCGTAAAGGACACTCAGTTTATTTACATTATTTAATTTTTACTCTAGGACCAAACTTGAAACTGTAAACCTTATATGGGTCTGCAACTATTAAATACGACTTGATAGTATGATTAAAGCCAAGTTAATTGGGAATTTTTCTCGAATATATTCAACATAAATACATGATTTACTTATTCCCCAAAAAAAGTTTATATTTAAATTTCTTATAAACGGCTTCTTCAAACCTGCTTCAGGGCTTTCTTGGAGGTGTTGTTTTGGCCGGAATATTTACATTGAACAAATTAGAATAATTAAGTAGGTTCCAAATACCGGAATATTTTGTGCAATGAATAATGAAACACGACCTTTGTTCTACTTGCATTGGTTTTTAGATCAAATAATAATGATTAATAGAAGCAGTTTGGACAAATTAGTGTTACGATGCGATAGGTGAAATTGTTGTGCCGTCGTAAGACTAACTTCAGAGAATGTATTTGCCAAAGATGTTTTCATTAATAAAGAACGAAAGATAGAGGTTCGTGCGTGCGTATATCGCTATAATATTACCCATAAAGGGTGTCAAAGTATTAGGGCTCTGAGGGAAATATGATTGCAATGCTCCTCCAGGAGTAGAGTATGCGGCTCAACCAGGTCCAAATGTGCAAAAGACAATATTATAGAGCTTTCTCGCATCTATGGGTGGTGAAAATGGGCGTTTTTAGTTCGTGAAACAATTTGTCTGATCAATTTCGATAACGAAGGACACTTTCAGGATTATGAGGAGATACTTTCTGGACTATGATACACAGAATACAGGAAAAAGAAGTCCAGATTATTTAATAGAAATAATTACCGAAACCCCGAATGCCACCACCTAATAGAAAAGTCAATAAAATAACATCATTCATAAGAAACGCATTTTTAATGCGTTACAATTTTATGCATTGCAATCGGTGCGGAATGCAAGCATCTTTATTGTGGTGGTGATGGTGGCATAACTGGTTGGTTCTATTGCCCCGACTATGGCATTGAAGAGGCAAAATGACTATGCGATGATAATAAAAAAGGACATTTTGAAATAAGTTTCTGCGAAATTTATAAGCTTCTTAAAGTTTTCCCCCACTTGGCATTATTTTTATTGCTGGCAAAGGGTGTTTGTTGAGAAGAAATGATGCTGAAATGTCGTATTGCTGATATCCCTCAAAGCTGAATTTATTGTCGCAGTCTATTCGAGTTGTTCTAGTGTTCGTAGTTTTGTAGCCACCCATCGTTAGTATTTGAGTACAAATATAATTGTGCACTTTTCAGTTGAAGTTGTTTTGGTATTTGAATAGTTGGCTGAATTGTGGGATGGGACAGTAGCAGTTGTAATTTCCTTTTGATATTTTTGTGATGCAGCTATAGTTTTTGCATAAATACCCATATAAATTTGAAAGTAAATTTATATTTTTTACAATCGTTTTTAATTTGTTAGGGGAAGTGAGGACTACAAATTTATAACTTCTAGTTTTTATTGCTTACCTAAATTATAAAATAGAGAGGGCAATGGTCTATTTTCGCTCAAGATAAATGTCAAGTTGAAAAGGTCCATCGGCGTTAAGATGTGAACTAGTGCTGTAGAGTTCACTAATGAATAAAGTTCAAGAAAGCCTAGTTATTGTACAATTGGAATCCATTCCAAAAATATTACATTGCATTCGTTCCTATCGCTAAAAGACGATGGCAGAACCGCAACTGAGTTATTTCGACCTCACATCATTTCAGCTTGGGAGTAAGAGAGACTGCCTCCAACTTGGAAGAGAGGCATTTTTGTGAAGATACCCAAAAATGGCGACTTCAAAGATTGTAACAACTGGAGAGGAAGAACCCTCCTCAACATCATTCACCAAATTCTGGCAACCATAATACAGAAAATAATTCAAAGTCAAGTAGAAGTTGAACAAGCTGGCTCTGGCCAAATAGAAGCTGTGTGGATCAAGTGAACACCCTACGAGTCATAATAGAACAATCAGTAGAATGACGAACCCCCTATCTACTTACCCTACACCTGTATATACTGTTCATCGATTTCAAGAAAGCTTTCAATACCATCAGACAAACTTCCATATGGGAGGCAGTGA